CTAACAGGAGTCAGCAGTCGTCTGCTCCTGTACCCACCTGTGTGTAAAACTAGTAGGGTAAGGCTTACCATGAACTATGGGAAGGGAAAGCTCTCAGCCTGCTAACAGGAGTCAGCAGTCGTCTGCTCCTGTACCCACCTGTGTGTAAAACTAGTAGGGTAAGGCTTACCATGAGCTATGGGAAGGGAAAGCTCTCAGCCAGCTAACAGGAGTCAGCAGTCGTCTGCTCCTGTACCCTCCTGTGTGTAAAACTAGTAGGGTAAGGCTTACCATGAGCTATGGGAAGGGAAAGTCTTGCTTGTGTTCCCGTGTGAAAGTGAGACAGATGGGAATCAGCCAATTTACAGTCACGAACAGCCTCGAACTGTGACCAGCACCAACACATCCTCGCCACATCTACGAGTGGCCGCTGTGACGAAGCTGTTACTCACCCTCACCTACGTGAGACCTGCTCTAGAGTCTGCATCTCCGCCATTGGTCCTGGACAGCAAGAAATTACAAAATAAATCCTTAACAAAAGGGTTAGGCAGAGAGGCCTATCCTAGAGTGTGTATGAGTGTCTTGGGGGCGTGGATGAGTGTCTTGGGGCGTGGATGAGTGTCTTGGGGGCGTGGATGAGTGTCTTGGGGGCGTGGATGAGTGTCTTGGGGGCGTAGATGAGTGTCTTGGGGGCGTGGATGAGTGTCTTGGGGGCGTAGATGAGTGTCTTGGGGCGTGGATGAGTGTCTTGGGGCGTGGATGAGGTCTTGGGGGCGTGGATGAGTGTCTTGGGGGCGTAGATGAGTGTCTTGGGGGCGTGGATGAGTGTCTTGGGGCGTAGATGAGTGTCTTGGGGGCGTGGATGAGTGTCTTGGGGGCGTAGATGAGTGTCTTGGGGGCGTGGATGAGTGTCTTGGGGGCGTGGATGAGTGTCTTGGGGCGTGGATGAGTGTCTTGGGGCGTGGATGAGTGTCTTGGGGGCGTAGATGAGTGTCTTGGGGGCGTGGATGAGTGTCTTGGGGGCGTGGATGAGTGTCTTGGGGCGTGGATGAGTGTCTTGGGGCGTGGATGAGTGTCTTGGGGCGTGGATGAGTGTCTTGGGGGCGTGGATGAGTGTCTTGGGGCGTGGATGAGTGTCTTGGGGGCGTGGATGAGTGTCTTGGGGCGTGGATGAGTGTCTTGGGGCGTGGATGAGTGTCTTGGGCGTGGATGAGTGTCTTGGGGGCGTGGATGAGTGTCTTGGGGCGTGGATGAGTGTCTTGGGGCGTGGATGAGTGTCTTGGGGCGTGGATGAGTGTCTTGGGGGCGTGGATGAGTGTCTTGGGGCGTGGATGAGTGTCTTGGGGGCGTGGATGAGTGTCTTGGGGCGTGGATGAGTGTCTTGGGGGCGTGGATGAGTGTCTTGGGGCGTGGATGAGTGTCTTGGGGCGTGGATGAGTGTCTTGGGGGCATAGATGAGTGTCTTGGGGCGTGGATGAGTGTCTTGGGGCGTGGATGAGTGTCTTGGGGGCGTAGATGAGTGTCTTGGGGGCGTAGATGAGTGTCTTGGGGGCGTGGATGAGTGTCTTGGGGGCATAGATGAGTGTCTTGGGGGCGTGGATGAGTGTCTTGGGGGCGTGGATGAGTGTCTTGGGGCGTGGATGAGTGTCTTGGGGCGTGGATGAGTGTCTTGGGGGCGTAGATGAGTGTCTTGGGGGCGTGGATGAGTGTCTTGGGGGCGTAGATGAGTGTCTTGAGGGCGTGGATGAGTGTCTTGGGGGCGTGGATGAGTGTCTTGGGGGCGTGGATGAGTGTCTTGGGGGCGTGGATGAGTGTCTTGGGGGCGTGGATGAGTGTCTTGGGGGCGTGGATGAGTGTCTTGGGGGCGTGGATGAGTGTCTTGGGGGCGTAGATGAGTGTCTTGGGGGCGTGGATGAGTGTCTTGGGGCGTGGATGAGTGTCTTGGGGGCGTGGATGAGTGTCTTGGGGGCGTGGATGAGTGTCTTGGGGGCGTGGATGAGTGTCTTGGGGGCGTGGATGAGTGTCTTGGGGCGTGGATGAGTGTCTTGGGGGCGTGGATGAGTGTGGATGAGTGTCTTGGGGCGTGGATGAGTGTCTTGGGGGCGTGGATGAGGTCTTGGGGGCGTAGATGAGTGTCTTGGGGGCGTGGATGAGTGTCTTGGGGGCGTGGATGAGTGTCTTGGGGCGTGGATGAGTGTCTTGGGGGGGGGCGTGGATGAGTGTCTTGGGGCGTGGATGAGTGTCTTGGGGGCGTGGATGAGTGTCTTGGGGCGTGGATGAGTGTCTTGGGGCGTGGATGAGTGTCTTGGGGCGTGGATGAGTGTCTTGGGGCGTGGATGAGTGTCTTGGGGCGTGGATGAGTGTCTTGGGGGCGTGGATGAGTGTCTTGGGGCGTGTATGAGTGTCTTGGGGGCGTGGATGAGTGTCTTGGGGCGTGGATGAGTGTCTTGGGGGCGTGGATGAGTGTCTTGGATGAGTGTCTTGGGGGCGTGGATGAGTGTCTTGGGGGCGTGGATGAGTGTCTTGGGGGCGTGGATGAGTGTCTTGGGGGCGTGGATGAGTGTCTTGGGGGCGTGGATGAGTGTCTTGGGGGCGTGGATGAGTGTCTTGGGGCGTGGATGAGTGTCTTGGGGGCGTGGATGAGTGTCTTGGGGGCGTGGATGAGTGTCTTGGGGGCGTGGATGAGTGTCTTGGGGGCGTGGATGAGTGTCTTGGGGGCGTGGATGAGTGTCTTGGGGGCGTGGATGAGTGTCTTGGGGGCGGGATGAGTGTCTTGGGGGCGTGGATGAGTGTCTTGGGGGCGTGGATGAGTGTCTTGGGGGCGTGGATGAGTGTCTTGGGGCGTGGATGAGTGTCTTGGGGGCGTGGATGAGTGTCTTGGGGGCGTGGATGAGTGTCTTGGGGGCGTGGATGAGTGTCTTGGGGGCGTGGATGAGTGTCTTGGGGGCGTGGATGAGTGTCTTGGATGAGTGTCTTGGGGGCGTGGATGAGTGTCTTGGGGGCGTGGATGAGTGTCTTGGGGCGTGGATGAGTGTCTTGGGGGCGTGGATGAGTGTCTTGGGGGCGTGGATGAGTGTCTTGGGGGCGTGGATGAGTGTCTTGGGGGCGTGGATGAGTGTCTTGGGGGCGTGGATGAGTGTCTTGGGGGCGTGGATGAGTGTCTTGGGGGCGTGGATGATGAGTGTCTTGTCTTGGGGCGTGGATGAGTGTCTTGGGGCGTGGATGAGTGTCTTGGGGGCGTGGATGAGTGTCTTGGGGGCGTGGATGAGTGTCTTGGGGGCGTGGATGAGTGTCTTGGGGGCGTGAATGAGTGTCTTGGGGCGTGGATGAGTGTCTTGGGGGCGTGGATGAGTGTCTTGGGGCGTGGATGAGTGTCTTGGGGGCGTGGATGAGTGTCTGGGGCGTGGATGAGTGTCTTGGGGGCGTGGATGAGTGTCTTGGGGCGTGGATGAGTGTCTTGGGGCGTGGATGAGTGTCTTGGGGCGTGGATGAGTGTCTTGGGGGCGTGATGAGTGTCTTGGGGCGTGGATGAGTGTCTTGGGGCGTGGATGAGTGTCTTGGGGCGTGGATGAGTGTCTTGGGGCGTGGATGAGTGTCTTGGGGCGTGGATGAGTGTCTTGGGGCGTGGATGAGTGTCTTGGGGCGTGGATGAGTGTCTTGGGGCGTGGATGAGTGTCTTGTGGGCGTGGATGAGTGTCTTTGGGGCGTGGATGAGTGTCTTGGGGGCGTGGATGAGTGTCTTGGGGCGTGGATGAGTGTCTTGGGGCGTGGATGAGTGTCTTGGGGGCGTGGATGAGTGTCTTGGGGCGTGGATGAGTGTCTTGGGGGCGTGGATGAGTGTCTTGGGAGAGCGTGGATGAGTGTCTTGGGGGCGTGGATGAGTGTCTTGGGGGCGTGGATGAGTGTCTTGGGAGAGCGTGGATGAGTGTCTTGGGGGCGTGGATGAGTGTCTTGGGAGAGCGTGGATGAGTGTCTTGGTGGGGCGTGGATGAGTGTCTTGGGGCGTGGATGAGTGTCTTGGGGCGTGGATGAGTGTCTTGGGGCGTGGATGAGTGTTTTTGGGGCGTTGATGAGTGTCTTGGGGGCGTGGATGAGTGTCTTGGGGGCGTGGATGAGTGTCTTGGGGCGTGGATGAGTGTCTTGGGGCGTGGATGAGTGTCTTCGTGGATTGTCTTGGGGCGTGGATGAGTGTCTTGGGGGCGTGGATGAGTGTCTTGGGGCGTGGATGAGTGCTTGGAACGTGGATGAGTGTCTTGGGGGCGTGGATGAGTGTCTTGGGGGCGTGGATGAGTGTCTTGGGAGAGCGTGGATGAGTGTCTTGGGGGCGTGGATGAGTGTCTTGGGGCGTGGATGAGTGTCTTGGGGGCGTGGATGAGTGTCTTGGGGGCGTGGATGAGTGTCTTGGGAGAGCGTGGATGAGTGTCTTGGGGGCGTGGATGAGTGTCTTGGGGGCGTGGATGAGTGTCTTGGGGGCGTGGATGAGTGTCTTGGGGGCGTGGATGAGTGTCTTGGGGGCGTGGATGAGTGTCTTGGGGGGCGTGGATGAGTGTCGTGGGGGGCGTGGATGAGTGTCTTGGGGGCGTGGATGAGTGTCTTGGGGCGTGGATGAGTGTCTTGGGGCGTGGATGAGTGTCTTGGGGCGTGAATGAGTGTCTTGGGGGCGTGAATGAGTGTCTTGGGGGCGTGGATGAGTGTCTTGGGGGCGTGGATGAGTGTCTTGGGGGAGCGTGGATGAGTGTCTTGGGGGCGTGGATGAGTGTCCTGGGGGCGTGGATGAGTGTCTTGGGGGCGTGGATGAGTGTCTTGGGGGCGTGGATGAGTGTCTTGGGGGCGTGGATGAGTGTCTTGGGGGCGTGGATGAGTGTCGTGGGGGCGTGGATGAGTGTCTTGGGGGCGTGGATGAGTGTCTTGGGGGCGTGGATGAGTGTCTTGGGGGCGTGGATGAGTGTCTTGGGGGCGTGGACGAGTGTCTTGGGGGCGTGGATGAGTACCCTGAGAGCACGGAAGAGTATCCTGAGAGCATGGAAGAGTATCCTGAGAGCACGGAAGAGTATCCTGAGAGCATGGAAGAGTATCCTGAGAGCACGGAAGAGTATCCTGAGAGCATGGAAGAGTACCCTGAGAGCACGGAAGAGTATCCTGAGAGCACGGAAGAGTATCCTGAGAGCACGGAAGAGTGTCCTGAGAGCACGGAAGAGTGTCCTGAGAGCACGGAAGAGTGTCCTGAGAGCATGGAAGAGTGTCCTGAGAGCATGGAAGAGTATCCTGAGAGCATGGAAGAGTATCCTGAGAGCATGGAAGAGTATCCTGAGAGCACGGAAGAGTATCCTGAGAGCATGGAAGAGTATCCTGAGAGCATGGAAGAGTATGCTGAGAGCATGGAAGAGTACCCTGAGAGCATGGAAGAGTATCCTGAGAGCATGGAAGAGTATCCTGAGAGCACGGAAGAGTATCCTGAGAGCACGGAAGAGTATCCTGAGAGCACGGAAGAGTATCCTGAGAGCATGGATGAGTATCCTGAGAGCATGGATGAGTATCCTGAGAGCATGGAAGAGTATCCTGAGAGCATGGAAGAGTATCCTGAGAGCACGGAAGAGTATCCTGAGAGCACGGAAGAGTATCCTGAGAGCATGGAAGAGTATCCTGAGAGCACGGAAGAGTATCCTGAGAGCATGGAAGAGTATCCTGAGAGCATGGAAGAGTATCCTGAGAGCATGGAAGAGTATCCTGAGAGCACGGAAGAGTATCCTGAGAGCATGGAAGAGTATCTTGAGAGCATGGAAGAGTATCCTGAGAGCATGGAAGAATATCCTGAGAGCACGGAAGAGTATCCTGAGAGCATGGAAGAGTATCCTGAGAGCACGGAAGAGTATCCTGAGAGCATGGAAGAGTATCCTGAGAGCACGGAAGAGTATCCTGAGAGCATGGAAGAGTATCCTGAGAGCATGGAAGAGTATCCTGAGAGCACGGAAGAGTATCCTGAGAGCATGGAAGAGTATCCTGAGAGCATGGAAGAGTATCTTGAGAGCATGGAAGAGTACCCTGAGAGCATGGAAGAGTATCCTGAGAGCATGGAAGAGTATCCTGAGAGCATGGAAGAGAACCCTGAGAGCATGGAAGAGTATCCTGAGAGCATGGAAGAGTATCCTGAGAGCATGGAAGAGAACCCTGAGAGCATGGAAGAGTATCCTGAGAGCATGGAAGAGTATCCTGAGAGCATGGAAGAGTATCCTGAGAGCATGGAAGAGTACCCTGAGAACATGGAAGAGTATCCTGAGAGCACGGAAGAGTATCCTGAGAGTGGATAAGGACACAGGATAGAGTGGATAAACGCCTAGAGTGAGAGCGAAGGTATATATTCTCCAAGAATGAATAAAACAACGTGAGGAGCCATTCTTAAGAAGAGGAGGGAGAGGTGAGGCGCTGTGGGAGAGAGAGTGAGAGTGAGGGAGAGCCGTGGGTGGGGGAGAGGCAGGGGATGATGGGGAAGGAGGTAGAAGGATAGGGAATCAGTGTAGGTGGCGGAGAGGTGAGAGACTGTCCCTAGGGAGTTGTACCATGGGAGGGGATAGGGAGGGGTAGATGGGGTGATGGGTAGGGGAGGAGGGGGATGGGTAGGGAGGGTTAGGGAAAACGGAGAATGCTAGCCTAGCGGAAGCTCAAATGTCGCCCGAGGAATATTTACCTGATACATGTGTCACCAGGTGGGTACATGTGTCACCAGGTGGGTACATGTGTCACCAGGTGGGTACAGGTAGGTGGGTACATGTGTCACTAGGTGGGTACAGGTGGGTACATGTGGGATGTGTCACTAGGTGGGTACATGTGTCACCAGGTGGGTACATGTGTCACTAGGTGGGTACATGTGTCACTAGACACTAGGTGGGTACATGTGTCACTAGGTGGGTACATGTGTCACCAGGTGGGTACATGTGTCACTAGGTGGGTACAGGTGTACATGTGTCACACATGTGTCACTAGGTGGGTACATGTGTCACTAGGTGGGTACATGTGTCACTAGGTGGGTACATGTGTCACTAGGTGGGTACATGTGTCACTAGGTGGGTACATGTGTCACTAGGTGGGTACATGTGTCACTAGGTGGGTACATGTGTCACTAGGTGGGTACATGTGTCACCAGGTGGGTACATGTGTCACTAGGTGGGTACATGTGTCACCAGGTGGGTACACACTAGGTGGGTACATGTGACACTAGGTGGGTATGTGTCACCAGGTGGGTACATGTGTCACCAGGTGGGTACATGTGTCACTAGGTGGGTACATGTGTCACTAGGTGGGTACATGTGACACTAGGTGGGTACATGTGTCACCAGGTGGGTACATGTGTCACTAGGTGGGTACATGTGTCACTAGGTGGGTACATGTGTCACTAGGTGGGTACATGTGTCACTAGGTGGGTACATGTGTCACCAGGTGGGTACATGTGTCACCAGGTGGGTACATGTGTCACCAGGTGGGTACATGTGTCACTAGGTGGGTACATGTGTCACTAGGTGGGTACATGTGTCACTAGGTGGGTACATGTGTCACTAGGTGGGTACATGTGTCCCTAGGTGGGTACATGTGTCACTAGGTGGGTACATGTGTCACTAGGTGAGTACATGTGTCACTAGGTGGGTACATGTGTCACCAGGTGGGTACATGTGTCACTAGGTGGGTACATGTGTCACCAGGTGGGTACATGTGTCACTAGGTGGGTACATGTGTCACTAGGTGGGTACATGTGTCACTAGGTGGGTACATGTGTCACCAGGTGGGTACATGTGTCACTAGGTGGGTACATGTGTCACTAGGTGGGTACATGTGTCACTAGGTGGGTACATGTGTCACTAGGTGGGTACATGTGTCACCAGGTGGGTACATGTGTCAGTAGGTGGGTACATGTGTCACCAGGTGGGTACATGTGTCACCAGGTGGGTACATGTGTCCTAGGTGGGTACATGTGACACTAGGTGGGTACATGTGTCACCAGGTGGGTACATGTGTCACCAGGTGGGGTACATGGGTACATGTGTCACTAGGTGGGTACATGTGTCACTAGGTCACCAGGTGGGTACATGTGTCACCAGGTGGGTACATGTGTCACTAGGTGGGTACATGTGTCACTAGGTGGGTACATGTGTCACTAGGTGGGTACATGTGTCACTAGGTGGGTACATGTGTCACAGGTGGGTACATGTGTCACCAGGTGGGTACATGTGTCACTAGGTGGGTACATGTGTCACTAGGTGGGTACATGTGTCACTAGGTGGGTACATGTGACACTAGGTGGGTACATGTGACACTAGGTGGGTACATGTGTCACTAGGTGGGTACATGTGTCACCAGGTGGGTACATGTGTCACCAGGTGGGTACATGTGTCACTAGGTGGGTACATGTGTCTCTAGGTGGGTACATGTGTCACCAGGTGGGTACATGTGTCACAGGTGGGTACATGTGTCACTAGGTGGGTACATGTGTCACCAGGTGGGTACATGTGTCCACCAGGTGGGTACATGTGTCACTAGGTGGGTACATGTGTCACTAGGTGGGTACATGTGTCACCAGGTGGGTACATGTGTCACTAGGTGGGTACATGTGTCACCAGGTGGGTACATGTGTCACCAGGTGGGTACATGTGTCACCAGGTGGGTACATGTGTCACCAGGTGGGTACATGTGTCACTAGGTGGGTACAGGTGGGTACATGTGTCACTAGGTGGGTACATGTGTCACTAGGTGGGTACATGTGTCACTAGGTGGGTACATGTGTCACTAGGTGGGTACATGTGTCACTAGGTGGGTACATGTGTCACTAGGTGGGTACATGTGTCACTAGGTGGGTACATGTGTCACTAGGTGGGTACATGTGTCACCTAGGTGGGTACATGTGTCACTAGGTGGGTACATGTGTCACTAGGTGGGTACATGTGTCACTAGGTGGGTACATGTGTCACTAGGTGGGTACATGTGTCACTAGGTGGGTACATGTGTCACTAGGTGGGTACATGTGTCACTAGGTGGGTACATGTGTCACTAGGTGGGTACATGTGTCACTAGGTGGGTACATGTGTCACTAGGTGGGTACATGTGTCACTAGGTGGGTACATGTGTCACTAGGTGGGTACATGTGTCACTAGGTGGGTACATGTGTCACCAGGTGGGTACATGTGTCACTAGGTGGGTACATGTGTCACATGTGTAGGTGGGTACATGTGTCACATGTGTAGGTGGGTACATGTGTCACTAGGTGGGTACATGTGTCACTAGGTGGGTACATGTGTCACCAGGTGGGTACATGTGTCACTAGGTGGGTACATGTGTCACTAGGTGGGTACATAGGTGGGTCACCAGGTGGGTACATGTGTCACCAGGTGGGTACATGTGTTACTAGGTGGGTACATGTGTCCCTAGGTGGGTACATGTGTCTCTAGGTGGGTACATGTGTCCCTAGGTGGGTACATGTGTCACCAGGTGGGTACATGTGTCACTAGGTGGGTACATGTGTCACTAGGTGGGTACATGTGTCACTAGGTGGGTACATGTGTCACCAGGTGGGTACATGTGTCACTAGGTGGGTACATGTGTCACTAGGTGGGTACATGTGTCACCAGGTGGGTACATGTGTCACTAGGTGGGTACATGTGTCACTAGGTGGGTACATGTGTCACCAGGTGGGTACATGTGTCACTAGGTGGGTACATGTGTCACTAGGTGGGTACATGTGTCACCAGGTGGGTACATGTGTCACCAGGTGGGTACATGTGTCACTAGGTGGGTACATGTGTCCCTAGGTGGGTACATGTGTCTCTAGGTGGGTACATGTGTCCCTAGGTGGGTACATGTGTCACCAGGTGGGTATATGTGTCACTAGGTGGGTACATGTGTCACTAGGTGGGTACATGTGTCACTAGGTGGGTACATGTGTCACCAGGTGGGTACATGTGTCACTAGGTGGGTACATGTGTCACTAGGTGGGTACATGTGTCACCAGGTGGGTACATGTGTCACTAGGTGGGTACATGTGTCACCAGGTGGGTACATGTGTCACTAGGTGGGTACATGTGTCACTAGGTGGGTACATGTGTCACCAGGTGGGTACATGTGTCACCAGGTGGGTACATGTGTCACCAGGTGGGTACATGTGTCACCAGGTGGGTACATGTGTCACTAGGTGGGTACATGTGTCACCAGGTGGGTACATGTGTCACTAGGTGGGTACATGTGTCACTAGGTGGGTACATGTGTCACCAGGTGGGTACATGTGTCACTAGGTGGGTACATGTGTCACCAGGTGGGTACATGTGTCACTAGGTGGGTACATGTGTCACTAGGTGGGTACATGTGTCACCAGGTGGGTACATGTGTCACCAGGTGGGTACATGTGTCACTAGGTGGGTACATGTGCCACTAGGTGGGTACATGTGTCACTAGGTGGGTACATGTGCCACCAGGTGGGTACATGTGTCACTAGGTGGGTACATGTGTCACTAGGTGGGTACATGTGTCACTAGGTGGGTACATGTGTCACCAGGTGGGTACATGTGTCACTAGGTGGGTACATGTGTCACTAGGTGGGTACATGTGTCACCAGGTGGGTACATGTGTCACTAGGTGGGTACATGTGTCACCAGGTGGGTACATGTGTCACTAGGTGGGTACATGTGTCACTAGGTGGGTACATGTGTCACCAGGTGGGTACATGTGTCACCAGGTGGGTACATGTGTCACCAGGTGGGTACATGTGTCACCAGGTGGGTACATGTGTCACTAGGTGGGTACATGTGTCACCAGGTGGGTACATGTGTCACTAGGTGGGTACATGTGTCACCAGGTGGGTACATGTGTCACCAGGTGGGTACATGTGTCACCAGGTGGGTACATGTGTCACTAGGTGGGTACATGTGTCTCTAGGTGGGTACATGTGTCACCAGGTGGGTACATGTGTCACCAGGTGGGTACATGTGTCACCAGGTGGGTACATGTGTCACCAGGTGGGTACATGTGTCACCAGGTGGATACACATTTCCCCCGAGATAGACAAGATTAATGTACATATAAATATAAGAGCCTCGCTCCCAGTCCCAAGAAAGAACTATCCACCGCTGGTCCCGGCAACAACAGTACAGGGATAGAGAGGTTTCGTAACAAAAGCCCAAGCTGAGTGACTCTAATGTGTGGTAGCTGAAGCTGATGCCTTACATATACTCCTTAATAACTTGGACCCTGCACCCTCTCCGAGACATACCAGGATAGCTCGAGTGCAGGGGGGAGTTGTGTAAAAACCCTGGTTTGAGTCTCGGAGAGGCTGCAGGATCCTAGTAAATTCAGTAAAACTTCTGGTTTAAACACTTTTTGACTGTGTCGTAGCTCAGTCGACTAAGGCAGCGTCTGGGATGCTCTCGGACGCAGGTTCGAATCCTCGTCACGGCCCTTGTGGATTTGTTCATTTGATGCATCACGTTATTGTGATTTCTGCGTGTATGTGAGAGCCGTTGAGGGTGTAGAGTGCGGGGAGAGGAGGAACGCCCTGCTGGCCGCTGCCACAAATGGTGAAGAATCAGAAAATGATTTTAAAAATAGTTTCCATTCTAAGAGGACGAGGAGGACGATGAGGAGGAGGACGATGAGGAGGAGGACGATGAGGAGGAGGACGATGAGGAGGAGGACGATGAGGAGGAGGACGATGCTGAAAATTCACAAAAACAAAAGTTGAGTGCGTGAGGTCACGCGTGTTTGGAATATTGAAGACTAAAAGCCTAATACATAGGCAAAAGTCTAATACATAGGCAAAAGCCTAATACATAGGCAAAAGTCTAATACATAGGCAAAAGTCTAATACATAGGCAAAAGTCTAATACATAGGCAAAAGTCTAATACATAGGCAAAAGCCTAATACATAGGCAAAAGTCTAATACATAGGCAAAAGTCTAATACATAGGCAAAAGTCTAATACATAGGCAAAAGTCTAATACATAGGCAAAAGCCTAATACATAGGCAAAAGTCTAATACATAGGCAAAAGTCTAATACATAGGCGAAGGCCTAATACATAGGCAAAAGCCTAATACATAGGCAAAAGTCTAATACATAGGCAAAAGCCTAATACATAGGCGAAAGTCTAATACATAGGCAAAGGCCTAATACATAGGCAAAAGTCTAATACATAGGCAAAGGCCTAATACATAGGCAAAAGTCTAATACATAGGCAAAAGCCCAATGAATAAACAATGTATAAACTAAAGCTCTATGTATAAAATGTATAAACAAAAGCCCCAATGTATAAATAAAAGCCCAATGTATTAACAATGTATAAACAATAGCTCCAATGTATAAACAAAAGCCACAATGTATAAACAAAAGCCACAATGTATAAACAATGTATAAATAAAAGCCCAATGTATTAACAATGTATAAACAATAGCCCCAATGTATAAACAAAAGCCCCAATGTATAAACAATGTATAAATAAAAGCCCAATGTATTAACAATGTATAAACAATAGCCCCAATGTATAAACAAAAGCCCCAATGTATAAACAAAAGCCCCAATGTATAAACAAAAGCCCCAATGAATAAACAATGTATAAATAAAAGCCCAATGTATTAACAATGTATAAACAATAGCCCCAATGTATAAACAAAAGCCACAATGTATAAACAAAAGCCACAATGTATAAACAAAAGCCCCAATGTATAAACAAAAGCCCCAATGTATAAACAAAAGCCCCAATGTATAAACAAAAGCCCCAATGTATAAACAAAAGCCCCAATGTATAAACAAAAGCCCCAATGTATAAACAATAGCCCCAATGTATAAACAAAAGCCCCAATGTATAAACAATAGCCCCAATGTATAAACAAAAGCCCCAATGTATAAACAAAAGCCCCAATGTATAAACAATAGCCCCAATGTATAAACAAAAGCCCCAATGTATAAACAAAAGCCCCATTGTATAAACAAAAGCCACAATGTATAAACAAAAGCCACAATGTATAAACAAAAGCCACAATGTATAAACAAAAGCCCCATTGTATAAACAAAAGCCCCAATGTATAAACAATGTATAAACAAAAGCCCCAATGTATAAACAATGTATAAACAAAAGACCCAATGTATAAACAATGTATAAACAAAAGCCCCAATGTATAAACAATGTATAAACAAAAGCCACAATGTATAAACAATGTATAAACAAAAGACCCAATATATAAACAAAAGCCACAATGTATAAACAATGTATAAACAAAAGCCCCAATGTATAAACAATGTATAAACAAAAGACCCAATGTATAAACAAAAGCCACAATGTATAAACAAAAGCCACAATGTATAAACAAAAGCCCCAATGTATAAACAATAGCCCAAATGTATAAACAAAAGCCACAATGTATAAACAAAAGCCCCAATGTATAAACAAAAGCCACAATGTATAAACAAAAGACCCAATGTATAAACAATGTATAAACAAAAGCCACAATGTATAAACAATGTATAAACAAAAGCCACAATGTATAAACAAAAGCCACAATGTATAAACAAAAGCCCCAATGTATAAACAAAAGCCACAATGTATAAACAAAAGCCACAATGTATAAACAAAAGCCCCAATGTATAAACAATAGCCCAAATGTATAAACAAAAGCCACAATGTATAAACAAAAGCCCCAATGTATAAACAATAGCCCAAATGTATAAACAAAAGCCACAATGTATAAACAAAAGCCCCAATGTATAAACAAAAGCCACAATGTATAAACAATGTATAAACAAAAGCCCCAATGTATAAACAAAAGCCACAATGTATAAACAAAAGCCCCAATGTATAAACAAAAGCCCCAATGTATAAACAAAAGCCCCAATGTATAAACAATGTATAAACAAAAGCCCCAATGTATAAACAAAAGCCACAATGTATAAACAAAAGCCACAATGTATAAACAAAAGCCCCAATGTATAAACAGAAGCCACAATGTATAAACAAAAGCCCCAATGTATAAACAAAAGCCACAATGTATAAACAAAAGCCACAATGTATAAACAAAAGCCCCAATGTATAAACAAAAGCCCCAATGTATAAACAAAAGCCCCAATGTATAAACAATGTATAAACAAAAGCCCCAATGTATAAACAAAAGCCACAATGTATAAACAAAAGCCACAATGTATAAACAAAAGCCACAATGTATAAACAAAAGCCCCAATGTATAAACAAAAGACCCAATATATAAACAAAAGCCACAATGTATAAACAAAAGCCACAATGTATAAACAATAGCCCAAATGTATAAACAAAAGCCCCAATGTATAAACAAAAGCCACAATGTATAAACAAAAGCCACAATGTATAAACAAAAGCCCCAATGTATAAACAAAAGCCACAATGTATAAACAAAAGCCCCAATGTATAAACAAAAGCCACAATGTATAAACAAAAGCCACAATGTATAAACAAAAGCCCCAATGTATAAACAAAAGCCACAATGTATAAACAAAAGCCCCAATGTATAAACAAAAGCCACAATGTATAAACAAAAGCCACAATGTATAAACAAAAGCCACAATGTATAAACAATAGCCCCAATGTATAAACAAAAGCCACAATGTATAAACAAAAGCCACAATGTATAAACAAAAGCCACAATGTATAAACAAAAGCCACAATGTATAAACAAAAGCCACAATGTATAAACAAAAAGCATAATGTATACATCAGAACCGAAGAATGCGGTCAAATTTCGTCTGTATTAACTATGTATGTTTGCAGGCCGGGCCGCGGCTTCAGCTCCTGGACCCCACCTTTACCCCGCCCGCCGTGAAGACCTACGGGTACAGGACCGCACAGTCCTGTACTCACCTATTTGTGCTTGCGGGGGTTGAGCTCAGGCTCTTTGGTCCCGCCTCTCAACCGTCAATCAACTGGTGTACAGATTCCTGAGCCTACTGGGCTCTATCATATCTACACTTGAAACTGTGTATGGAGTCAGCCTCCACCACATCACTGCCTAATGCATTCCATCCGTTAACTACTCTGACACTGAAAAAGTTCCTTCTAACGTCTCTGTGGCTCATGTGGGTACTCAGTTTCCACCTGTGTCCCCTTGTTCGCGTCCCACCAGTGTTGAATAGTTTATCCTTGTTTACCCGGTCGATTCCTCTGAGGATTTTGTAGGTTGTGATCATGTCTCCCCTTACTCTTCTGTCTTCCAGTGTCGTAAGGTGCATTTCCCGCAGCCTTTCCTCGTAATTCATGCCTCTTAGTTCTGGGACTAGTCTAGTGGCATACCTTTGGACTTTTTCCAACTTCGTCTTGTGCTTGACAAGGTACGGGCTCCATGCTGGGGCCGCATACTCCAGGATTGGTCTTACATATGTGGTGTACAAGATTCTGAATGATTCCTTACACAGGTTCCTGAACGCTGTTCTGATGTTAGCCAGCCTCGCATATGCCGCAGACGTTATTCTTTTTATGTGGGCTTCAGGAGACAGGTTTGGAGTGATATCAACTCCTAGATCTTTCTCTCTTTCCGTTTCATTAAGTACTTCATCTCCTATTCTGTATCCCGTGTCTGGCCTCCTATTTCCACTGCCTAGTTTCATTACTTTGCATTTACTCGGGTTGAACTTCAACAGCCATTTGTTGGACCAAGGGAGCCGGTCGGCCGAGTGGACAGCACGCTGGATTTGTGATCCTGTGGTCCTGGGTTCGATCCCAGGCGCCGGCGAGAAACAATGGGCAGAGTTTCTTTCACCCTATGCCCCTGTTACCTAGCAGTAAAATAGGTACCTGGGTGTTAGTCAGCTGTCACTGGCTGCTTCCTGGGGGTGGAGGCCTGGTCGAGGACCGGGCCGCGGGGACACTAAATAGCCTCGAAATCATCTCAAGATAACCTCAAGATAACCATTCACTCAGTCTGTCTAGGTCATCTTGTAGCCTCCTACTATCATCCTCTGTTTCAATCCTCCTCATAATTTTTGCATCATCGGCAAACATTGAGAGAAACGATTCTATACCCTCTGGGAGATCATTTACATATACCAGAAACAGTATAGGTCCAAGGACTGACCCCTGCGGGACTCCACTTGTGACGTCTCGCCAATCTGAGACCTCACCCCTCACACTGACTCGTTGTCTCCTGTTACTTAGGTACTCCTGTATCCAACGGAGTACCTTCCCTTTCACTCCAGCCTGCATCTCCAGCTTTTTCACTAGCCTCTTGTGTGGCACTGTATCAAAGGCTTTCTGACAATGCAAAAATATGCAGTCTGCCCACCCTTCTCTTTCTTGCCTTATTTTTGTTGCCTGGTCGTAGAATTCAAGTAACTCTGTGAGGCAGGACCTGCCATCCCTGAACCCATGTTGATGCTGTGTTACAAAGTTCCTTCGCTCCAGGTGCTCCACTAGCTTTCTTCGCACAATCTTCTCCATCAGCTTGCATGGTATGCAGGTTAGGGACACTGGCCTGTAATTCAGTGCCTCCTGTCTATCCCCTTTCTTGTATATCGGGACTACGTTAGCCGCTTTCCAAATTTCTGGCAGTTCCCCTGTTGCCAGTGATTTATTATACACCATGGAGAACGGGAGGCACAGTTCTTCTGCTCCTTCCCTTAGTATCCAAGGGGAGATTCCATCTGGGCCTGTAGCCTTTGTCACATCCAACTCTAGTAAACACTTCCTTACTTCCCCGCTGGTAATCTCAAACTCTTCCAGTGGTTCCTGGTTAA